AAATAAAAAAACAGAGAATCGAAATCTCTTGTGTCACGGTTTCTGGGACGTCGCAGAAATCCTCTAAATTAAATTAGCACCGTCTGGTCTTCGCAGTTTTGGCAATGAAATTAATTAGCCGAAAGAAAGCGTTTCGCGACCGAAACCTTGACAGCGTTGGCTTAAATAAAGATCGCTGTAAAAATAGTCGAGCGAACAATGAAATTGTGTTAAGCCAGTGTTTCTGGGGTGTCGTAGAAGGCCATGAAATTTGGTTTGCGGCCGTAGGACCGATGTGGGTTAAATGGTAATTGGTTGAAGTCGAGCAACCCCGTGGCCGGGCCGTGGCACGATCAGCGGCCCCGATAAACGGGAAACTACACGAAGTCCGCGCGTTCTTCTCCTCGCCTGCGGTTCGGGGCCCCGGTTAAAAGATGATCGTGGCTCGCGATACTTAAGTTTCTCGAGCACTTTAATAGTTTAATTTTCTGCTCGCCTCCTGTTTGTTCTCCGCGCGTAGATTCGGATCTCATCTTCGGGAACGCAATTAAAGAGGTGAGGTGGAACGAAAAAGAGCGAGAAAGAGGAAACGAAAGAGAGAAAACGAGAGAGAGAGAGAGAGGCAGTGGGAGGTTGCGGAGGGCGAAGGCGCTGGCGAGGAAGAGGGGAGGCACGGTTAATAGAATAGGGGATGTTGAGGGAACTTGAATTAAACGAGGCTTTATACGAGCCACGGAGATTTGTCTGGAACACGATCTGACACGGATTTGATTAGACGGAAGCGTCGGTTAATGATCTACGATCGCGTATTCTTTACTGCGTCGCGTAGCGAGGTTCGATGACAGATAAAAACCTAGAAATTCATCGCCTTTTTCTTGTATCATTATTCGCAGGGGTTTCCATGTGCCGCGGCGCGGTTTTAATCGTGGCTCATTTGTTGTTGCACGATTGATACATCAATTACGCGCCGTTGTTTGCTTACAGCGAAACCGTTGATAATTTCGTTGAGACGCCGTGAAAGATCCAACGTCAGATACCGGCTGTTCAAGTTCTTTGCATAATGCGATAATGTGGCATACGTGTGACGCACCTGTGGACGCGCTAGACCTGATCCTGCTGCCTCATTCGGATGTACCCTGTGCACTAGTTGCAAGGGAATTCCCCGAAGGATACACGATGATTTTATTCTGACCGTTATGGAGGCTTTTAGCATGGAATGTGGGCTCGTTTGAAACAGAAGACTTCATATTTCAAAATTGTATTAGGTCCAGGAATTAATTTTGTACGTTTTCCAGATGTCAGCAAGGTCGAATGTTTTTAGCAATAGGCGAAGCACAAATGAATTTATATCACTGAGACCGAAATGTATAAAAAGTACAGACCAAGCTCTTTAAAATGGGATTAGAATCATCGCGATGGAATTATTTTCAATGAAGTTTCAGCCGTTTGAGGTCCGTCAAATTTTGTCTAACTTTTGCCTGGAATTTTCGGCCACCGACGTCTCTAATTTATGTTTGCCGACATACTGTTCGATATGAACGATCATAAAACGACTAAAAAAAATCGTAGCTCAATGTTTTTGAGCTCGTTGGAAAGAAGAGACTCTACAATTTAACATTACATTATACACGTTCAAAGAAAAAATGTTGTATGCAACTCAGAGGCCCGCAAAGTTGAATTTTTGGCAAAAAGCGAACTTTATTGGAAAAAACTCATTTTGCGAATTGAACAGCGAATTCACATTAATGAAACCAAATTGTAAAAGAAGTGCAGTCTTTGCTTTTTGAAATGAGACTAGAATCATCGCGATACTGTCATTTTCAACAAAGTTACAATGCTTCGGATTTCGTTCGTTTAATTCTTTTCGAATTTTGAACAGCTCCGGCACGCTTATGATTCAAACAGCCATAAAACGGTACAAGAAAATCCCGCCCCCACGTTTCTATGCTCGTTGAAAAGAGGAGACTTCGCGTTACAAGATCGCGTTGGTTACACTCGGGAAGAAAATTGTTTAAACATTTGCAGCTAGCAATTGCGCATCGACAAAGACTATCGTACTTCAGATATGCCATGGAAAACCCACGACGTACAGATCCTTGCCAATTAAAAATCCTTTTATGCTGAACGTGCACGCGCGCGTTGAATTATGGAGTCGGTCCCGCGGACGTGTCATTTCCTCCCGTCAGTTTAAGCGTGTTTTATACATCGGATCAGAACGATCGAGCAGCGACTATAAATCCTGAGAATAGTGGCGTTGCACTTCATTACCGGAGGATTAGAGATCTTGACCAGTTGGCTAACAGGCGTGCACGAGTTTCTGCACGGTTGACGCAACGGAGTCCCCGCCGCATGCTCCGGGGAAAAGGAAAAGCAGCAAACATCCCACTCGACATAATCTTTTCTTCGGCGGGGAACGAATACCGGCGCCTTCCAGCCGAGATCCATTCGACCATTGTGTCCATTATAAGTTTTTGTCCCCCGTTGCAAGGAGGTTTCCCGTGCGTCTTGTGAGACTTCATGCCGCTGCATTGTCGTGCCACGGTGGTCTCCCTCCCTCCCTCCCCCCGCCACTCCTCCGGCTCGATCTCATGCCTAAGCTACCGGCGTTTGCTCCCCTTCCCCTTTTTTATTTCCCTTTCCTACCGCGCGCGTAGTATAAGTTTACGTTTGGAAACCGCGGCCGAGGCGCGCACGCTGTGTGCATTCATCGGTGCATCGGTGCACCTTTTTCTGCCTCCGCCGATGCGATGGTCCCGCACGGACGAGCAAGCGTAGTCGCGCGTAGCGAACGACGGAGCGCACGATCAACATGGCCGCTTTTGTCGGGTTCGAGTGGCCTTTGTCTCGCGAAAAATCAATATCCGGATAAACGAACGATTTAATCGAGCTGATAGATAATCGCCTTATTAACCACCGTCACGGTTATTACGGCTAAAGTGGCCCCTAATGCGGAGCCAATCGGCGCGTATGACAGCGATCGCTCGTCGAATTAGTCGGCCGACTAGCAGCACTCAGTTCCAAACTCGAATTGATGGCACGGTGAAAGGTTCCTTTCGATCACAGGGCAATTTTTTATCACTTCGAAGAACCAGACCGATTCTCCCGTCGTGTTTTTCAGAGATCGAGAACCAGTTTTCTGCTGATAAGACAATCGTTCCGTTTGATATTTAACGTCTTAAAAAACGAGTCTTGTACTTCAATCTTGTACCGAAATCATCATTTTTTTTCTCGTATTTACACTCGAGTGGCGAGGCAATACTGAACATTGTTGTATCGCGTTCTTAAATAATTTGTACTTTATCAAATTTTTTTGATATTTTTAGAAACTGTTAAAATTTTAACGAACAGTCTGCGAATTAAAAAGAACTTGAATACAAATCTGTGAAGGCATTGGGAGAATTGCAGAATGTATTTCCAACGTGTGCAGTTTATTAAAAAGACTAAAAGAGGAAATACGTTCTTATCGAATTTAAGTTTCTCATAAACAGCGTAGACAATTTTCATTTTGCATAAAAATCCAGTCTATCGCAGAATACGTAGCCCGGAAAAAAACTTCGAATTTAGAGGGAATTTTCTTAGTGCGAACCTTCGGAAAACCGCGAACAAATTTGAAGTGTGCTCGAAACATGTATAAATAAACCCTGTAAAGTTGGCTGCGAAACGTGTTACAGTTTCTTGGCGAAACTGAAACACTCCCAAAGAAGTGCTATGAAAACGGCGTTCGCACCAGCATAGCCCCTTGAAGACAGATTCGCAGCGGAAAGTAATTTCGTGCTAAATGCCAGCTGGATCGCGTCGCCAAGTTTTTCCGGAGTTTCCCGGCGGGGCACGTCTTTTCCAAGACACCGGGTAGACGTCCAGGCAAGACGTGGGATAGTCGGTGGCTTCGCTTTAAGCGAGATAGGAGTACAGTTATCCATAAAAGTAGAGCATGCGTACGCCGGCTCTAGAACGGCAGGTGGTGTCCGCTGCCCGGTGAACAAAGAGAAAAGGAAAAAAGGAACTCGAACCTACCATCAGAACGCTGCGGAGTCCGTTCGATTCGACGCTCCTCTCAAATGATTGAATAATTGACCGGCTCGCTCGAAAACACGCCGATTCGTGGAACATGTCGACGACATGCGTTTACGCTGCACACTGGCCGGTCGAGGACCGGTATCATACTCAAAAGAGTTCATCCGCTTCTTTTCTCCCGGTGTCCTCCGGACACGACAAGTCGCGTTTCACAACGCTGACAGTTTCGCCGGCGAGCATTTTCTTCTATACAAAAACGTTCTACTCCATTTAGCTACAATGTTGCACGCATGTTCGCGGAGTTCACAGTCCAACAGTTTCAATCGTTCGCAAATGGAAATTTTCCTTTGTACAGCCCACCCGAGCCGGTTGCAAAATTCTGCACATGCTGCCCGAAGTCGAAAAGGAAAGTTATCTCGACACATTGATCACGGTGTACCGCGGAATCTTACAATTCCGCAAATTGCACCGTGCGATGGAAAATATAAGCCGTTTCGTTGATGCGTTGACCGTCGAATTACAATCCTCCAAACGTCTCGCAACTGTAAAGTAATTTATCTGGTTAAATTGGACCCTCGAAATTCGATCGGACTGCTCTCTTCTTGAAATCTTCTGGTTGCTGCAAATTTTAACAATGTTTTGGCTGTTCGAATATTTTAATACAAAAGTTCTGAACTTGATTAAAAGATAGTCAATGCGTTGAATAAAGTTTTTTTTTATTCAAGATTGATGAATACAACTGATAATCCTCTTCGTGCCGATCGAAAGAGTCGCGTGTACAAGAGCGAAATATATGAAACCTGTTCGATACAGTTTGATAAAGTATCGGAAAGAATTTACAAAACTTTTGTAAAGACTGATGATCAGAAAATTCAGAAAGGAAGAAGAAATAAGAAATGAAACTGTTGTCTATTAAAAGTATTAAGAAAACAAGATTTTCACAAGTAAAGAGTTAAGGAGAACTTGAAAGTCGAAAGTTCGGTTAGGGTGAAATGAATTGATCGTGGTTTAAATTGAATTAATTAGTTATTATTCATATTTTATACAATAGTAATCATAATTAAGGTATCTTAGTCCATAATATCTATATTCGTACAAGGGTACTCGATAAAATTGATAAATTGGGTCTGCCGTGTTGTTAACCTATATGTATATAGACGATTTCTGGCTTCTCTCTCGCTCTCTCTCTTTCTCTCTCGCTCTCTCTTGCTCTCGCTCGCGCGCGCGCTCTCGCCCTAACAGTTTTCTTTACACTCTTATCACAATATCGTATTTTACACAGATTTGTTTCATTTACGACTTACATGCTAGAATGGGGGGCTTGAGAGGGGGGATGTGGGAGGGGCCCCGGTGCAATATTTACACGGAATCGGGGATCGATCGCAGTGTCCACGGCGTCTGGATCGATCCCCGCGGCTTGCGCCGAGGCTAGTAACGCTAATAACTTTCTACGGACTCTGTCAATTTTTTTCAATTTTCTCTTATAATCTTCTGTGTCGTAATCCGTGTGTTTGTCGAAGTGTCTGCTGCTGCTGTGTGTGTATGTGTGTGTCTTCTGCGCGCGTGTGTGTGTCTGTATGTACCGTGTACGTGTACCCGTCGACTCTATTTCCCGCGTGAAGTCCGCGCAACAGCGTGTCCCATGATCGCGACGAAAGCGCCGACGAAAACTCATGTTTCGCGTTTCGTCGAACGGCTTCCGTGTCCGCGAGAAATTCGCGGTTTGCTCGCGAGTGTCCACCATTTTCGCGAGTCGTTCCTCGATCGATCCGCCAGAGCCTGCACGAGGTAAAAGTGTCCGCGGAAAATGGTAACGGTGCTCTCGGCGCTGGTCCGCGCGAGCAGAAACCGCACGCGCGCCCGCAAACACGCTCTCCGCTTCTCTCTCTCTCTCTCTCTCTCGGCTTCCATTCGTTTCACGCCGTTCTCGCAATTTACTCGCTCTCCACGCGCAATTTAGGAACTGAGGGAGCTTCGTCTTAAATTACACACGCACACGCCTCTTTATTGCACCGAATCTAAACGCAAGAACCTTCTATCTCTCTTTCACTCACTCTCTTTCTCTCGCTCTCTTTCTCTCTCTGTTTCTTTCACACTCGCTCGTCCTATCTGTTTCGTGTCGCCGTTCTGTCCGCGTTTTTCCGCGAGGCATGTTCCGCGCCTCGTAGCTTTGCGGTCGAATCTAACGGCACTTATTAGTATACACGGAGGAATCATTGTCGTCGTCGTCCGGCTGAGACGCGTTCCCCGCAAGCTCGCAGCGCCGTGAATCCGCGAGACGACGCGGCGGGAATCGCTCAGGAATTTTGATTGACGCCGTGCGAACGACTTCGGTTTTCGCTGCAGCTGTTGCACGATTCGTCTCTCTCTCTCCCTCTCTCTCTCTCTCTCTCGCTCGCTCGCTCTCTTTCCTTTTGTCGAGCTTTCTCGCCGATTTAGACGCGCACCGGCTTTGTACTCTTGTTCGATGCCTCCGGAGTTCGACGATTGCGACCGAAACGTCGCAAGACCCTGTGCAGACTTTTCACGGAACTGTTTCGTCATCTAATTTTATGCGATCTGAACAAAATCTCAACAGTTTCGATGTTAATCGTACTTATTTCGATCGGACTACGGAGCTTCGCGCTAAATACGGATCTAAGTGGACCTACGAAAATCAGGAAATAGAAGGAAGTGAGCTTTCTTTCAGTAATTTCAATAAGCCGAGTGTCATTTCGTCGGATCTCTTCGCGTTTCTGCATTTCATCCGCTTATCCTTGTTGTAGATGCACCGCAGTTTAATTACGATTTATTCGATACCGTTGCATTTTGTGCAGACTTCTGCCGAGACTGACGATTAGGCTGCAGATCTTTATGCAGTATAAAAATTGTGTACATCGACTGGAAAAAATTGAAGCTAAATAGAACGTTCCTCCTTTCATCAATAATTCTACTTGGTTAAAAATAATTAACTTGCATTTCTAAATTCTTCTAACATCTTTACCATTTCAAATTGCAATTACCCAATTTTTCCATAAATGCATAAAATCTACAGTCTACCGATGATTCGGCTGCATGCGCTGTGAAATGAAACAAATCGTAGATCGAGCAGTTGACTCGGTTCGAACGTTTCCAGCACAATTTATTGCGCTAATTCAACACAAATTGTATAAAAGTCTGACAAAATGCAACAGATACATTCGAAATATCTGGCACGAAAAAAATCTTCTCCCTCAAATTTTTCTTCGTCTTGGAATCTTTATCCGTTTCAATGATAATCGCGTGCAGCAACTTTTACACACATTTTTTAGCAAGCGCTCGCATTTAGAAGCAGACCCGTGTCTCAGAACATCTCTTGAAGAAGGAAACTGATTTCCAGAGCGAAGGGGAATGCTCTTTTTCCGTTTTCAAGCATTTCATACGGGAAACAATGCATGCGACGAGCAGGCAACGAAAAAACGTGGCTAGCAAAAGAGGAAACGAGCTGTCGTTGCCTGTCTCCCGAGCTAGCCCCTTGAACGGGTTCAGATGATCGATACCGGGCAAAGAAACTGTCGAGGAGCGAAATTCCAAGCAGTTAGGAGAGTCAAGCGAGTTTTCAAGTCCCCAAGCCGAATGAATAGATTAGAATGAAAGAACTGCGACGGGTGCTGCTTGTCCTGTTCTTCAGTCCTTCGGCGACACTTCGCTCTCTTTCCAATCGATGCTATATAGACTGAGAGCCGCTCTACGAACCTAGTTCACCGAACTATAGGCACCGGCTCGATAGCGCGTTAAACGTTAATCTATCGTGCGAGCTGTCGATGGAAAATCAGGGAGAAGATGATGCAAAAAGTATATCGAAATTACAGAAAAATACACTGCACAGGGTCTCGGAAGCGTGCATTCGAAACGAGAATTGGCGGAAGCTGAGCTTCGACGCGGAGACCGTCGTCAGTTCGACTCGATTATTCATGATTTCGGTAACATGATCTCGCCAATGGCCAAGGCCACGTGTGTAATTTTTAATGCAGCCGTTTTGTCACGGGACGACCGGTAAAGATGGTTCGATGCGCTTTCAAAGCGAAACGGCAACGGTCGCCGGTCTCGGTTAGCTAGTTTCGCGAATCCTCGTTTCTTGGTCGGACAGCCGCGTCTCCGGAGGCGAAAAAGGAGGCAAAATCAGGAGGAAGTAAAGGGACCGTGCGAGACCGCGTTCTCATGAGACGACCATTGTTGCACCGACACGCCAGAGGATTTGGGTCAGCGGTGGGGCTCGCCGGCCCTCCCAGTTTCCCGTGGTCGCAAACCACAACCGTCTTTTTTGCGGTTTCGTGGCTCCGTCTCTTTGAAAGCTAGCTATTGCCCGCGAGATGCAAGATGGCAAAGGTTGGCCAGCATGGCCGACGGAAAACAGTAAAAACAACTCCGAGCCGAGACGTTTCCCCGATACCCTCAGCTCCGAACGCGGCGGGTCTCCGGGACGGACAGGGAAAACGTGTCCTATGCGAAACTCGTTGCTTCTGTAATCCGAATTTATCGTCGGAGATAGGAGAATTCGCGGGCTTCCGTTCCATTTGATTTTGCTTCGTTGCACGCACGCGAAAATAATTATGTTCGCTCGTCGACGAATAGGACAAACATTGAATCTAGTTAGCTAAATTTTGAGTTCGAGGAATTGGGAAACGAGAGAACTTCGCGTCTCCACGATCTTCAGAGTAATCGTGCGTTCTTTAACCCTCGGACGGCGGACCATTTTCACGACTATAAAAATGACTATGTTTATTCGATGATGTTTCTTCGGAGATACTTCTTTGATAACGAGTTTTACGTATCAATTATCCGAAACATATTTCCCCTGATATTTCTTGTACACCTATTAGTCTTTCCGCTGTTCCTTGTTTAACAACGATTTACTCAATTCGACTGTCGAAGATTAAATCAGTGGATAACGATCTCAACAGTCTGGGCGAAAATGGCTGTAGCCGCAATCCGAGCGTTAATCATCGCTTTTTGCGAGTAACAAAAGGGTGACACGTTAAGCCAAGGTAGAACAGTTGCACTAATTCCTCGGCAACATTGGAATTAGCTTGGACAAACAGTGTTTTTCCAGCTCGAACTTCTGCGAGCCGCAATTTTTCTCCGCCGCTCTACCCCGCCGTATGAAAACGATTTGATCTTGTAACAATTTATGGTGGTCCCGAAGCGACGCGGCGGAGGTTTCCTCGAATTGCTCAATTTTTGAACGGGGTTAATATCGCTGATCGTCCCCGGGCCGGGAGAACTGGGAATTAGCCGGGCGTTCGGCTCTCTCATGAATTTAATGAGCACGCGGCCACTGTCGACACGCGTGGTCCGATTTTTTTTCCCGGCGGATTCGAGGAAACCGCGCGCGCGCGCGCGGTATTCTGCGCGCTCCTTTTCGGAGGAGGTCCCCGGCGGGTTGCTTCATCCGGAAAGGAGGGACCAGTGATTACACCGTGATTGCCGAGATCGTTTGACTCACGAAAATGTCATTAGGGTTTCATTACTTCCAACCGCCTTGAGGAACGACCGCTCGACGAGTTTATGCAACGCGTTCCCCGTCTGTCCCCCCTCGCCGTGCCCTCCGCCGCCGCCCCCCTCTGCATCCCTGTCCGTCCCCGTAGACCCCTTTTCCGTTACCCTTTCCGTTCTCCAGCGGTGCGGTGGTTCGATCCAGCACGAAGTGGGTCAGGTTGGCCAACTGTCGCAAAGGGATCGACCGATCTAACGTCACCGGCGATTGACATTTACCGTAAGGAGATCGACGCGCGGCGACGCGCCGCGAGGACGCGGAAAATCGCGGCTGCCCGGTCTCGAGATAGGTGCCGAACACATCCATTGTCCGAGCGAGGATAATTGTTTTGCGAGAGATCGGCCCCGGCGCGGCGTCTTGACATTTAGTAGACCGTCGAACGTGTAATCTCGAGCACACTGGAATCCCGCGGATAATCGATCGATCGATCCCTCGACTACCCGGCTTACCCTCGCGTGTTCGATCGCTCGACGATCGAGAGTCGAGAATCGAGAATCAAGAATCGAGAATCGAGACTCGACGAGAATCTCCCTGCTCGCGACGAACAGATCTGGTTTCTCCATTGGTTCTTAACGCTTCTGCCGCGCGGTTCTCGGCCGCGCGACTTCCGCGGACGTCCTCTAGCCTCGAGGGATCCTCACCGTGCGTTTCACAAACGTTCACAAGCTTGATCGGCGACGAGGTTCTCTCCCGCGGTCACTCAACGTAGCACGATTCTTTTTTCGTAGTCTCACTGAAAAGCGTCTGTGTGGCGAGTGTCCACTTCCGGGGCTCAGCCGGCTAAATTACTAGAAGTTCCCTAGCGGAAATCCGCGAATCGGTCGCGCACTAGTCAGGAAACGGAACCTCCCGCGCGGACGAAACGGAAACATTATTAACATCGGACGCGAATCCCATCGCGAATGCTGCTATATGTATTCACACTTTGGGGCTGCTGGGGCGCTGGCGCCGTCGCGGCGCTGACAAGCGGGTCCTCTTGAACACAGCTCGAAGGACGTCTTCGTTAAACCGCCGGCCATACCCTGCAACATCGCGAAATAAACCGACGGTTAGGTTTGGAGTTTTATAGGTTTATAAAGGATGAAGAAGGTGAATATCTGGGGTTGGAATGCTGTAACGATTGTTCTCTTGATTTTCGAGGATGCATTAGCTGATTCTTTTAGTACCATCGAAGTGCAAAGGGACAGATTGACTGTGAACGTGTGGAAATATATCTCTTCGTAAGAGCCTCTCCTTAGATCGTATCATTTTCTCGGATTCCTCGTGTATAATGCTAAAGCATCGGCTGTAGAAACTTTTTTCCTGTTCAACATAGTTGAATGAACGCTAACTTGAAAGTGAATCTTACAATATGTATGTCGCCAACATCTCTTGGCAGACCATGATGTCGACAGCATTGAAGTATCGAGAATACCATTGATCGCCCGAGGACACCCTTAGAATTGAACGTTATAGTGAGAAGACATGGACTGGTAACGGAAGTGCAGGGTGAAGATCAAAGTGTTAAATAAACGAATGTTAAAGAAAAAGGTCGTTTACCATTTGAATCTACCAATTTGAATTATAAACTTGTTCGAACTAATAAGATCACAGTAATTCACAAGTGGATGTAACAGATAAAAACAATTTGATATTTATCCGCATTTTCAAGCATTAACTTGCACGAATTAGTATGACCATAAGAAGTGCTGCATGAATGAATGCATTAGAAAAGAAACATATGATATATACCCTAAATTTGTAGTATGAACTTGCATCAGTCAGTAAACCCAGAGAAAATAATGCATAAACGAATGCAACAGAAAAAGACAATTTCACAGAAATTCTAAATTTTAACAAGCTTGGTACAACTAATAAGATCAAAGACATTAATGCATAAATTAATGCGACAGAAAAGAACAATTTCACGTAAATTCTAAATTTTAACAGCAAAGGTGAAGCAATTAATAAAACCAAAGATACCAATGCAGAAATCCATGCAACGAAATAGAATAGAATTTCACAGAAATTCTAAATTTTCACAAGCTTGAAGCAACTGATAAGATCAAAGACTCTAATGCTTAAATTAATGCAACAGAAAAGAACAATTTCACACATATCCTAAATTTTAACCACAAACTTGAAGCAACTAATAATACCAAAGACACTAATACATAAATTAATGCAACAGAAAAGGACAATTTCACACAAATTCTAAATTTTAACAATAAACTTGAAGCAATTAGTAACACCAAAGACACTAATGCATAAATTAATGCAACAGAAAAGAACAATTTCACACATACCCTAAATTTTAACCACAAACTCTCCCCAACTAGTGAGACAAAAGACACTAACGCATAAATGAATGCAGCAAAAAAGTACAAATACGAACATCTCCCAACTAGTAACACCAAAGAAAGCGATGCATTATTAAAAGCAACAGAGATCGACGATTTTTTATTTACTCCTTTAGGTATGGCATTGCTGTAACTATTGTAGCTAGAGAATCGTGTCAACGTTGAAGGGTCGGATCGTCAACAGGACAGGTCGGGATTCGGTTGTATCAGGGGCGAATACTTACGTGAGTAGTCCAGGATTGGGGTCCGTCTGGTACCAGGAGTACTGTGGCATGTAACCCGCGTGGTGCGGGGGCGGTGGTGGCGGCGGTGGATGGTGTCCAGGCGTATGGGGATGGTGGTGGGTGTGTGGTGGCGCGTGCGGATGCGGATGGTGCTTCATCTCACCCGGCCAGGAGGGCGCGGGTGGGCTCTCGTTGTGCTGGGGCGACATCTCGCTTCCGGGGCTCGAACTGCCGGGGGTGTGACCCCCTGCACCACCGCCCATGCCCCCGAGGTAGCCCGTCGTCGGACTTCCCGACACCGAACTTCCGCCTCCTGCAAGCAAACGTTACACAATTCTGGTTAATGCGACAGTTCATAGTGTCCATCGAAGTTTTAAAATCGTGGAATACCTATGATGTGGGTGGTAAGTATTTTATGATGATCGATTAGATACTTTACAGTGTTCTTAGAAAAGCCTCATCTCTCAATTAATAACAGTGCACTTCGATTCTTTGTGATTCATGATGGCTTTCATTGGAGTGAGAGTTACAGGGAATGTAAGAAGATATCACACACAAGGTACATTATTCTGTCGGTGAATTAAATGATGAACTTAGCTAGTATAGTAAATGCTCTCTAATTGTCGCTCAGTTTGGAAACAAACATGGACAATTTGGGAAGAGGAGGTACGATTATTCCAGCCTTGTGGCTTGTTTTTATAGTTGTTGACAATCGGTAACTGTAAAAATGAGCTGCAGGTCTTCAATGATCATGTCTCCTCTTCCCAAATTGTCCATTTTTTGTACAAGCTGAGCATCAATTAGGGAGACTTTACTGTATTAACGTTGGCAATAAGTATTTGACCAGAAGCAATAGTAACGAATTTATTTAAATAAACAAAGTTGTTTGCCCCTCAAATGCTACGACATAAATAAAAAAGTCTTGGCAACTTTAAATTGGACATATACTGAATAAATACGGGACGTATAATCAATGTTTTAGTTTACTCTCTTGAAAAATAGCGAACAAAGAAATCGATGCCAGCGGAAAAGTATTTGCTCGAGCGAGGTCCTGAAAAAAAGTATTTGGCCATTCCAGTTTGCATAAATAAGGTCATAATTTGCTTTACATTTGCAATATCCAATACTTAGGAATATCTTAGGTTGATTATTAACGTGAACTTTGAAAATGAAAGAAACCAAGCAATATACTTTAATGATAGTCGCGAGATTGGTGATTTATATGATTGTATTGTTACCGTGGCTAGGTCCTTTCAAATCCTTGTGCATGAATTTTCTATGGATAGTTTTGAATTAACTTCTTTAAAACAAAGCTCCATTCTTTCTTTAAACCCAGAACTAGTGGCTAGTTATTTGTATCGGAGACTAGGAACTTAGAATTCAGATCGTTCGATAGGGAAAATTCACTAATTTTGTGCTTCTAGATGGCCTACGTTTGGTTCCCTTCTGTCTACAGGGTGTCCCAAAAATGTCTCGCAATCCGAAAGTGGCGGCTATCTCGGGTCATTTGAAGCAACTTTTTCCTTTACAAAAATTTTCTCCGAGGCACCATTAGCGAGTTATTAACGAAAAACAGTGACCAATGAGAGACGAGCTCGGCTGGGGCGAAGCGACCGAGCCAATGAGCGGAACTGGGCTTCGTGCGCTGGTTGGCTGGGCCGCCTCGCGTCAGCCGTACTCGATTCTTATTGGTCACTGTTTTTCGTTAATAACTCGTTAACGGTGCCTCGGAGAAAATTTTTGTAAAGGAAGAAGTTGCTTCAAATGATCTGAGGAACCCGCCATTTCCGGATTGCGAGACATTTTTGGGACACCCTGTATATTGCAAGACGTATTGCTTCAAAATATAAATGAAACACAATTTAATTGATTTAAAATATAAAATACCAATGAGTGAAGTCTTGTTTTACGATCTTTGGTGTAATTATTCTTGAGTAACGTATTTACACATAAACGCGCTTCTACTGAATTTATTAATGGAAATCGATATCGCTTCGTCAACTCTCCAAACAGTTCCAGCAAATGTTACGCCAAGATCAGTCGCGCACTCATAAGTTGTGAATAATTAAATCTGTGATAGAACACGCATCGACACTGATTACCCGGCCGGGCAGATTTACTTTGATCTAAACTTGCAAATTAATTTCTATATGCATTATCATGACGAACCTTTCACTTTTCATATCCGAGTAGTACAAGTCTCCGCGAAACGTTGCACGCTGGAAAAAGTAGAAACTCGGGACCAAAACCATATTTCCCCGTGGATACTATTTCTTCGACGAAGCATAAAATATGAGTTCGGCCGTTTTTAAAACGCATTCCGGTTCTCGTTCGAATATGTTCCGGCGGTTGCTGTGACAAGGAAGCACCGCGAGCCGGCCACGCGACGATGACTGGTTACACGGACCGATGCAACCAGTCGTATCATAAAGTCAGCCGAGAGATGTGGATCGGCAAGGTTGTCGAACGGTTCTGCGCCGATGGCATTACGATTCGATCTCCTTAATTGATTTATATCTTCCGACTGGATTCGTCGGTTTCGCTCGCGCCGATGGAGAGAACAGCGGATCTACGAGAGGATCTTTCGCCTCGTCGCGATCGCGTGAAATTCGACTGAATCGGACCTTGTAGCGATCGAATACGCTTCATATTTTCAACGCGATTTAAACCGTATCGGAAGCGTGTCCGACTTCCCATTGATCTCACCGATACGCCGTAATTATAAGCTTGCAGGCCTGGCCGCGTCGACGTGTGCGTTTTCTGGTAGCCCGTGTCGCGAGCGGAAACTTCTTATTATTACTAAGATTGAGTTACGGTGATATTTCGCTTCTGTGCTGCGCACCGCCTCCAGCCGATCCTCGTGGAATTCCAAACAACGGTGGATCGTCCAGAAGAAAACTCCAAACACGGAGTTATTAACTCTGATAGGCTAAATATAGTTCTGTAAGAGAACTTTTACTTCTTTCTTTATTATTCCGCAGAAAATTCTCTTGCGTTTTGTTCGATTTATTCTCGGATCGTGGTTCTCAATTTTTATCGGGTTCGTTAAGTCAAATGTTTTACTATAAATTGGATTTAGAATATGAATTTTCGGCGNAAAGCTCCATTCTTTCTTTAAACCCAGAACTAGTGGCTAGTTATTTGTATCGGAGACTAGGAACTTAGAATTCAGATCGTTCGATAGGGAAAATTCACTAATTTTGTGCTTCTAGATGGCCTACGTTTGGTTCCCTTCTGTCTACAGGGTGTCCCAAAAATGTCTCGCAATCCGAAAGTGGCGGCTATCTCGGGTCATTTGAAGCAACTTTTTCCTTTACAAAAATTTTCTCCGAGGCACCATTAGCGAGTTATTAACGAAAAACAGTGACCAATGAGAGACGAGCTCGGCTGGGGCGAAGCGACCGAGCCAATGAGCGGAACTGGGCTTCGTGCGCTGGTTGGCTGGGCCGCCTCGCGTCAGCCGTACTCGATTCTTATTGGTCACTGTTTTTCGTTAATAACTCGTTAACGGTGCCTCGGAGAAAATTTTTGTAAAGGAAGAAGTTGCTTCAAATGATCTGAGGAACCCGCCATTTCCGGATTGCGAGACATTTTTGGGACACCCTGTATATTGCAAGACGTATTGCTTCAAAATATAAATGAAACACAATTTAATTGATTTAAAATATAAAATACCAATGAGTGAAGTCTTGTTTTACGATCTTTGGTGTAATTATTCTTGAGTAACGTATTTACACATAAACGCGCTTCTACTGAATTTATTAATGGAAATCGATATCGCTTCGTCAACTCTCCAAACAGTTCCAGCAAATGTTACGCCAAGATCAGTCGCGCACTCATAAGTTGTGAATAATTAAATCTGTGATAGAACACGCATCGACACTGATTACCCGGCCGGGCAGATTTACTTTGATCTAAACTTGCAAATTAATTTCTATATGCATTATCATGACGAACCTTTCACTTTTCATATCCGAGTAGTACAAGTCTCCGCGAAACGTTGCACGCTGGAAAAAGTAGAAACTCGGGACCAAAACCATATTTCCCCGTGGATACTATTTCTTCGACGAAGCATAAAATATGAGTTCGGCCGTTTTTAAAACGCATTCCGGTTCTCGTTCGAATATGTTCCGGCGGTTGCTGTGACAAGGAAGCACCGCGAGCCGGCCACGCGACGATGACTGGTTACACGGACCGATGCAACCAGTCGTATCATAAAGTCAGCCGAGAGATGTGGATCGGCAAGGTTGTCGAACGGTTCTGCGCCGATGGCATTACGATTCGATCTCCTTAATTGATTTATATCTTCCGACTGGATTCGTCGGTTTCGCTCGCGCCGATGGAGAGAACAGCGGATCTACGAGAGGATCTTTCGCCTCGTCGCGATCGCGTGAAATTCGACTGAATCGGACCTTGTAGCGATCGAATACGCTTCATATTTTCAACGCGATTTAAACCGTATCGGAAGCGTGTCCGACTTCCCATTGATCTCACCGATACGCCGTAATTATAAGCTTGCAGGCCTGGCCGCGTCGACGTGTGCGTTTTCTGGTAGCCCGTGTCGCGAGCGGAAACTTCTTATTATTACTAAGATTGAGTTACGGTGATATTTCGCTTCTGTGCTGCGCACCGCCTCCAGCCGATCCTCGTGGAATTCCAAACAACGGTGGATCGTCCAGAAGAAAACTCCAAACACGGAGTTATTAACTCTGATAGGCTAAATATAGTTCTGTAAGAGAACTTTTACTTCTTTCTTTATTATTCCGCAGAAAATTCTCTTGCGTTTTGTTCGATTTATTCTCGGATCGTGGTTCTCAATTTTTATCGGGTTCGTTAAGTCAAATGTTTTACTATAAATTGGATTTAGAATATGAATTTTCGGCGGTGTATATGAATTTTTATTTTTAGAATGCGAATTTTCGGCGATGGTGTATTCGCGTGAAAGAATGTTGTGTCTATCGTGTAATTAAATTACTTTTCCGTATCTAACTGCACGAAATAAATGGATCTAAGAATACTAATTCAGTAAAATTCTGTGTCTATTTTTTCACCGAGGATTTTTTTTTCTTGCTTGTGCGTAAAGATATTGGATAAATTTGCACACAAGTAGCGTCGATCGACTATATTCTCAATAAAAGTACATTAAAACCTCGATTATCCAAAGTAATATTTCGATTATCTGTTTTCTGAACACTATTCGCATGTAAAGCCGAACAATGTTTATTGTGAAAATCAATAAAGATTCTTTACATTTAATAATCGAGATTCTACCGATCGGTGAACCGTATGTGCATAATTAGGAACGAAGGTATGCAAGTGAGATTTCCAGAATTTTCTAATCAGATAGATAAATCTAATAATTTTAGTACAACGTTCACCTAAATTCTTGAACAAGGTCTCGAAATCCTTATTATGAAGAATTCGACTGCTTCCAAGCAAATGCGACATATGCAATAACTCGTAAACTAACAGACGAAATTCATTGAAAATTTGTGACGATGTTCCTCGCTACAAGCCAAGTATTAAATATAACATAATTTACATGGGGACTTTCTATGGAATCTCGTTGACACATTTGGCGATCAAACTCGATTTTCTCGGTTTCGGAAGAATGTCGCTTGCATTCCGTCGGTTCCAGATGTTTCGTACGAAAGGAAATGAGAAAGCTAGCGAACCTCCTTGCATGAGACTTCCGGGCTGTCCGGGTTGAGGGGATGGTCCTCCAGGTAAAGCGGTTCCACCGGCTAGAAGGCTGCCGTGTTGTCCTCCGCCGCCGCCTCCGCCCTGCTGCGCCGCCTTCATCATCTTCTTGTACTTACTTCTTCTGTTCTGGAACCAGATTTTCACCTGCAACAAAAATCGAAAGAACGGGTCAGCTGGAACTCGTTTCGCGAGTTGTCGGTAGCTATTGCCACGCGAAATGCTCGGTGGGGGAAAAATATTGATGAAAAAAGGGACAAGAAGACGAAGAAGCATATGAAGAAGAAGAAGAAGAAGAAGACGAAGAAGGAGAGCCGGGTTGATGTACTGTTTAACGTGGTCCGAGAGACGTGGGAAGCCAGCAATTTCCACTGTCTCCGCGCCTGTCCTTCCTTCCGTCAAACATCCGATAATTACAGGCCTGATAGACATTTTCTGCGAGTACACGCGTAATGATACACGCGTCTTCCTTTGGCATATATATTTTGCTCGGACGCCGATCCTGGCCAAGCAGTCACCTTCGATCGCGAAGAAGATAGATTGTAGCGCGATTCGATCGGCGCCGAACCGTGCGCCTTGAAACCAGATAACTGGGACAGTTTCGCAGAAATTTCGCAAATTGTGTAGCAAAGTCCAGGGACAAAATATGTCTCCGCAGATGCACAGTAAATGGCTGCTTCGACTCGTCGGCTGTCGCGTCGGTGATGCATAGCTGACAGGATCGTTGATCAAGTTTAGAAGCTAGATTTAATAGTCGTATATTTGAGGAAATTCAACTCGATCAGAGGATTCGTGGGATATCCAAGAATCAATGATCATGAACTTTGACTTTACGGTTTCGATTTCGTCGGCTGAGCCAGTTCGATTTTCTGGGCGTCTCTTCAGGATGGGAACTCGCTAGTTTCGTTCGACTTCTAACCCTTTGCACTCGAATGGCGACCCTGGGGTGCCACACTTAAAATTGCTGTAGCATTTTTTCAAGCAGTTCTTACATTATTACATTGGTTTATATTTAAATGATTAGTAAAAATGTAAACCTGTGCGAGCAGATAAGCTCAATTTCACACGCATGCGATAGAAAATTAATAACAAATCAAAACACTGTACGCTGGAAGAAATATCTTAGCTCTGAAGTTAAAACAGCTTCGAGTGCAAAGGGTTAATACCTTAACTTCCAGATCGTTCGCACCTGAAACTGCAGGTTGTAAAATTACGAGCGCAGAATGGTGTTTAAAAAGATTCATATAAAAAATTGATATTCCACAGCGTGCAGCGTCATCGAGTTCTGGGAGCCTTCGCGATCTGTTCGAAGGTCAACGATATTCCCCAGTAAAAGGGAAACTGCGAGATCGTCGAATAAAGTCGCCGCAGGCTCGTGGCAAAGGGTGGATTCGCGTGGAGCCTCCGCGGCGCGGAAAAGCGACAAACGAGGAAAAAAGGAAGAGAACAGCGTCGAAAAAAAAAGAAATAGGAGGAACTGGCAGTTTCGTAACTGTCGTTTCTTTTGCCTGTCCCTGCCTACTCGCTGCATAGAACGCCGGGCACGGCCTGCAGCGGATACTAATGCGCGTGTGCCGCTGTTAGGATTGCACATGCGGTATTTTTTTGTGTCCTCGCGATCTATACGTACGCCGTGTGCACGTGACGGGCTGCTCAATCTTACGTAACCCTGCCTCATAGAGGCGAGCGCTTGCCAAGAGAAACGTCGGATGAGGAACACGCTCGTGTTTTGCGCGCGCCGAGCGTACACGACGCTCGAACCCTTCCTCAGAAACAGCTTCAGGAAGAGGAAGATCGGCGTGGCGCGGCACAGCTTGTTGACTTTCTAAGGGAAGTGTGAGCGATCCTTTTTTTCCTGACTGCCGCTCGTGACTCTGAACAGGAATTCGAAGTCTCGACGGCGTCGCTGCAAGACGAGACGACGTTTCAATGCTACTTCCTACCCGAAATGCAATTTTCCAAGTATACAGGGTGCTTCAGGCTTAAACCGACATACTTCGGATATGGATTTAGCATCGTGAAACTATCTTTTCCTCTGGAAGCACACTCGCAAATGCTTCCTTCAATGGGTATTTATTATTACTAAATTCGTAGGACCAGGGCTGGGGAAAAAGAGATTTCTGAAATAGTAAATGGACTATAAATATTTGTATCATCTCGTTGAACACGGAATTTATCGAATAAGTATCTCTTTTTAAATAGTAGTTACGAAAAGGTTATTCGCCAAATTCTGAATTACACGAGCAGACGAAAATATTTATAGTCCATTTACTACTTCAAGTTCACTTTTTCGACTGTTTCAAGCAGTTGCAAAAAGCTTATTTGCCAAATTCTGTATTACACGAGCAAATGAATATATCTATAGTCTGCTTGCTATTTTGAAAATCAATTTTTCCCTGTACAGGACTTCGTAATGCACGCTGTGGAAATAATTCAGGTTTATCACGTATATTACTGAAGAAAATTGTTGTATTTATTGCTGCAGATAATTGTAATTATTACATATGTTGTTCAAAACGACTACCGCCCGCTTCCAGACAAGCACCGCACCTGTCAATGACAGAACCTGTTAATAACATTCAAACATTAAAATTGAGACTAGTGCGAGCACCTAATGAAATGACAGATGTGCAATGTCACCCGGCCACTTCTTCTGCCATTGATGGGTGCAACGCTTGTCTCGAAGACGGAGGTAGTCGTTTCGAACAACATATATAACAATTACAGTTATCTTCGGTAATAAATACAACAATTTTCTTCGGTAGTACACATGATGAACCTGAATTATTTCGATAGTGTGCATTGCCAAGTCACATGTGCAAACAATAATTTTTAGAACAAAACATCCTGCATCCTTCGAAACACATTCAAATTCGGCAGCCTCGAAATCGTGAGAGTACAGATCATCATCAAAATCGTGCGACCTTATGATTTACGACTAATTATTTGGAAAAAGGTAGCGCAGTGCGACGGCGGTTAGGGTAGCTAAGCTAACTAGCAGACGCTGCGAACTGTTCGGGTCAGTTCAGGTCGGTTCCAGGTCGATGGAAGCGACGCTTTTCCGCGAAATGTCCCAGACCTACATTCACCTGATACACGTAAATAACGTGCGCGGCTTCGCTTCGAACATTGTCGCGACGATAACGCTCGCATAATGTGCATCAGGCTCTGATAAAGGAACGAGACTCTCCGACGCGCTATCATCGGAGGCTTACGCAACCGTGGTTGTATTTCCCGTCGGGTGCCGGAATAGCCGTTGCCGGCGCGACTGTTTTCATTAGTTTTTCAGATGCTCGATCGTGCTGTTCGACGCTAATCGATTGCGATTTAATTGATAGTCTTGGAACCCTGGAAGAAAGTGATCTGTACGCGAGTAGTTTTATTGTGACGAACTGTTTGTGCGGAATCGATTCTATGTGGAGATTTGTTGTTATGTTAGGTCCGAGTGAGCGTTCAATTGAGAAGGCGAATTCGCTTGTAAGTACGTGATAATGCGAGTGAACCGGTGGTAGTATGTTGATGGTTAAATTCTTGTGCCTATCACCGAAATCAAAGGAGTCATTGTTGTGTTGTCTCCTACGCTGTGTTCGAGTGAATCAAATTCTGCAAGGGAAGTCTATAGGATTCACACTAGATCTACCAGATAGATTAAAACGATTCATTTCAGGCGTCTAACGAAGTAGCTTCAACGAAAATTTATCGAACAGATCAATCTGTAGTAAATTCTTTCGAAATTGTCCTTCAGCTTGTAAACAGAAATGGACAATTTTGGAAAAGAAGATACGATTATTCGAGCCTTGCACTTCGTTTTTATAATTGTCGACAATCGGCGATTATAAAAGTGAGCCGCGAGGCTCGAACAACCGTATCTCCTCTTTGCTTTGAATTCTCCATTTTCGTTTACGAGCTGAAGAAAAATCGAGGAGCATCTACTGTACTCAACGTGTCCTGTTTTACGTTACAAAGAACCCCGGCGTAAGACGATGAAACAAATCCACCTGGTGCGGCAGAACAATCTACATGAAATCCTATTTCGCTCTGAATGATTCATTGAGTCCACTCTGCACGACAAAACGACCTACTCACCAGGTTCCGCTATCGCGTTCACGAATCGATATCGGTGAAAAATCGTCGAACAAATCTACCTCGTAGAACAAAACAAGCGTTCTGCTCAACGTGTTTTCCGTCACGTTGCAAAGCAACTCCGGCGTACGACGATCGAATAAATCGTTAATTAACTCCACTTCGCGCATCACAGAACGATCCAGGGATATTTGTTCGGCAATTGTCGAAGTCGTCGAGCCAATTTCTCCGAGATCCTTACGTCACCGCAGAGCCCACAAAGGCGCATCGGCGAGAGGACGCTGCCAATGTCTTCATCTTCAGCGAGCGGTTTTCTCGGGAAAGTAGCGCCGAGTATCGGAAGCGCTCCTGAACTTTTCGCGAAATGAAAAGCGGGCCGGTGCTCCCGTTAATTAATCGATGCCGGTGTTGGCCGGCTACCGCGGCTGTGCTCGGTTCAAGTGGCACGTCAACGGTTTGACGGCTGTCAGCAGGACGAACAGGTCCTCCTCGTCAACCGCCGCGCCGGGGGTTGCGTAATCGGCTCTGGTCCGGCGGCGGGTGACGCGTTCGCGCGTCCACGGCTTTTTACGCCTGGGGCGTCAATCAGAAACCGTACGGTTACTTTAATTAACCAAGGCGCGGCGAGGTGGTGGCTAGATCCCCGAGGAACGAGGGAAACTGTTCTTCAGCGGAACAGGAGAACCAGAGGAGAACAAGGCAAAAAGGGAGAAGGAGGGAGAGAGGGGGGGGGGTCGTCACGTGAAAACGAGTTCATTAAAACCGCGGCGCGGGTTCGTGGCCGCAGAAGAAACGCGGCGGGCCCGACATTGTTTCACGTTTCGTAAGTCGAATCGCGGGGCCCACAGACACACACGGAGCGGAATGCGCGTGTATCGTGTGTCGTATAAAATGGCCGACGTGCGTACGCTATCGGTCGAAAAGTATGTTGCTGTTACACGAAAGAGAGAGAGAGAGAGAGAGAGAGAGAGNTTCGTGGCCGCAGAAGAAACGCGGCGGGCCCGACATTGTTTCACGTTTCGTAAGTCGAATCGCGGGGCCCACAGACACACACGGAGCGGAAT